GTTTACATCCCCATGGTCGCGGGTCACCAGTACAAGCAGCCACCATCTTGCACCGCCATCTTGTCTACTAAGGCTCATGAAGGACAAACTGCGGTGGCGGCGTCAAAAACGGTTTTAGTTGTAAAACTATAAATGTAATATTTGTTGTCTGTCATTGTAGCTGGGATAATTTTACTTTTTAAAGCTCATAATCTTACCACTTGAAACATCACTAGCCCTGAAGCTGCTGGTAGACATCACGGTTGGAATTATCAAAGGTTTTTGACACCTGAGAGACACCGTAGCAACTCCTTTGGGTTTGGAGGCGGGGGTGGGGGTGGGGGGAGGACCAGGGAGGATGATTCAACCACTCAACCACTAGATGTCGCGGAAAACAACAAATCCTACACACTGTGCCTTTAAGTTTGTAAAGTATTCAATGCATGAATAATAGAGCTAAAAAGAAATCTCTTCTAATTTCATGATTGCCAAGCAAAAATACGAAAAATAAATCAAAGGTTATTGGGATTTCAAAAAATTGTTCTGAAGTACAGAAATAGTATCTGTGGTAATAACTGCACTGATGCAATATCTGAACACATAAGTAAAATGTGTTAATATGGTAAATGGTAAAATGATTGCAATGGTAAAATTAATACACCAGAGTGTCGCACAACCCAGAGACCATAAAAACAAAAATTAAGGACAAACTTGTCACCATTTTTTTAGCACTTTGGTTGTGGTTTAATTCTGTTGTAGCTCTACGTGTCTTTGTTTCCAGGAAGTGCAGGTTGTGATCTTATCTTCTGTGTATAGCTGAGGTACTGGAGTTTTAAAAAAAAAGAAAAGAAAAAGAAAAATCTTGTTTTATGCTCATCAAGACTGATAAACTGATAAAAGCTGGAGCCACTAACCGAAGTCTCAATAAGCACAGAAAAAAAACTGATGATGATGACATGTTTACTCAACCTTGATGAATTGTGCTACTGCAGAAAAACATTAGATCATTTCTAAGTAAAAGGAGGTTGTTTGACTTTTTATCAATACAAATAATAATGATACTGAAGGGTGTAGGACAGCGGATTCCAAAGAATTTAGAAGCGATACTCCTCAAGTTTCCTATACAAGACTTTTAAAACCGTGGGAATTTATTCCACTGAAACGTAGCACATGCCACAAGAAACAACAAGCACGGCAGGTTTTTTTTCAACCATTTTTTTCATATTTTTGCTTTTTTGGGGTGGAAAAGGCAAAAGTGACACTGCTTCGCTTAATTGACACGTGGACGGTTGTCCTGATTTAAAAGGTCGGTGCAACCCTGGCATCTGTCAGCTGAGGATGGAGTATTAAGTTTCAAAAGCAGAGAAAGTCTAATTATTTAAAGACTGGACGACATCTTTGAAAGACAAAATAATTTTCTCCAACCATGAGGATTAAATGCTCATTTCAGTCACGGTTAATCACCGTTTTCCTCAAACCTGCCTTTTCAACAACACAGGTGGTTCTTTTTACGGATGTCCCTTTAAAAAAAAAGAGCAACTTTCCTTGTAAAGTAAATCATAAGGGAGGAGGACAGAAGAAAAACAACTGAATCCACCCACTGTCTGTCTCACAGAGCATGTCTAAGCCCATCGATCACTGTCTACGCACTGGGAAGTACGAGAGCTGTAAAACTAGGCTGAACTCTCCCGTCTCCTCGACTCTCCCCTCCCCCATGATGACTTTACTTTTGGCTCTTCAGTTAAGAAGTGGGGGTGGCTAGAAACTTTGTCCTTGATAACAACTGGACTAGACAGTCCTCAGGAACACCAAAGAAGCTTCGAACCGGGCCACGAATGACGTACTACAAACCAGAGTGTTACAGTCTGAGCAATAAAATGCAAACTGCAAGGTACATGCTTTAACTGCCACGTCCTGGTGTTTGTTCATTATATTACATTGTCCTGAGTCAAATAAAGATTCAATCTAAACAGAAAACAGAACAACAAACACGTTATGTTGAGAACACGGTTGTTAGCCTAAGAAACATTAACATAAATCAGGCAAAATGATTTAAAGGGATAGTCTGGTCATCTTTATAGGGGTGTTTTGTTGTGACAGCAGTCAGAGCATGGAGTGTGAGAAAGAAGCAAAAGTCTTCATCCAGGTTGAGGTTGTGTCACACTACAAGATTTTAAAACAGTCGGACGATATTCAAAGACTGAGAGAAGTCACACGTGAGGGTAAAAAATCATGGATCTACCAGGTTTGGTTCTTCAGTGTGTGGTGTACAGCCACACGGCAAGAGACAACACACCACACACGAAAAGATATGTCATTCATGAACATTCAGATGTCCGGTATTAAATCACGCGAGATTCCAGGAAATCTCGCGAGAACTCAGATGTCAGGAAAAATCTCACGTGACCTCCAGAGAGACGTGAGTTCAGAGTAAATAAACATTTGCAACAAGAAGACACAATGTTGATCGTTTGTGGACTATTTTTACCAGAGGAAAAACAATCCCGCAGACTTGTAACAGACTTTCTGGTGAGTTATGACTGTTTTTTATGTTTTCTGTATTTTTGGATTCCCTTCCGTGTTCATGTCACCTCGCTTTCTGATTGGCTGCACGTCTCATTCAGCAGGCAGCGAGCTCGTTTGTTCTCAGGTGAACGCCACAAACGCTGTGATTTCGGGCCAAAAAAATCAAACATGTTGAATATCCCCGATTTGAGGTCGGAGCGGTTCCGACGTCCTTCCGAGCCGACTAGATCACTCTTAACTCACCGCCCACGGCAGGAATATCTGCTATGATTACCTTTAGAGTCATCACGATTAGAGCTGCCATTAGTCGACTAGTCACAATTATATCGACTATTAAAATAGTCAACGACTAATTTAATAGTCAATTAGTCGTTTATTTTTTTTACTTTGTTTTTCTCTCCGAACTGCTTTGACACCTTCCACTGCCATATCTGCCTTTCTGTCCTTGACACACATGCGCACTAGTGGTAACCTAGGTAGGTCGTGGACGTCACAAGACATTATACAGACAGGCTCTGGTATCATGGCTACCCTGCAACTAGGGGTGTAACAATACATCGATCTATATCGATATATCGATTGGAATGGTTCATGATTCAGTTATATCGAGGCAAAATGAAAATATTGATCTATATCATCATCAAATGCTCGATGTGAATCAGTATCATATATTGCATTATATTGATCGTAGACATGTGAATTGAACTGAATTGAAATCGTATCACGACAGACTTTGAAATAGAGAAATATCGAATCACCATCCAAATATATCAATGTAATATTGTATCGTGATAAAACTGGTGATTTACACCCCTACCGGCAACAGAGCTCAAAAGTGTGGGATCATTTTAAGAAAATGAAAGAGAAACCTGTGCAATGCAATATCTGCAAGGCCGAACTTGCCTTCCATGGCAATTATTTTTAGTTAGCATACAACTTAAATCTAACCATGGTTTATATAATAGCAGCTGCATTCTGGCGTGATTAGCTGTATGTTTTATATTCAATTAACGTATGATCCGATTAGCCGAATCGAAATCGAAAA